AGAGACATCTCTTGGAAGCGGGGTATCCATCTGTTGATCGGGATGTACTTAAGTGTGTTATTCTCGTATATGTCAGTCACTAGGTCGATACAACTATGGGCCGGAGTGGTATGTGAAGTCAAGATGAGACCCGACAGCCTACGGTGCTGCGCCTCAATGCGCTCCTTTCTCTCGGCTTGGGGCAGGCGCCGCACTGAGCCTTCCGGCGTGCCTTCGACCCTAGATTTGAGGTCCGCCACATTGAGTGATTGCGACTCGAAAAGCAGCCTACGGATCACCGAGACCTGAAAGGAGCCGGGTGCCGGGGTGACTACAGTGGCTAGCCACGCATCGACAGCTTCGTCTGTTAGGCCCTGCGGTGTCGCCGATGCGGCGAAAGCCAGTTTTCCAAATGTGTTGTAACCAGCATCTATCAAACGACTGAGAAGATGGTTGCTGAGGCCTATTTTACTGCATCTTTCACGGAATGACGCTTCGCTGTCTAGTATGACAGAGGACATGGCTCAACCTGCAAGCTACTCGGGCTCGGCCGCCGACACAGTATCGAAGCAGAATGCTTCGGTCGCTGTCTGAGCCAACAGGCGCCGGGTCCGAGCTTCGACATATGGCAAAGCCTCTGCAACAGCTGACCCTAACATCGTGATTTCAGCAACGGCACTTTGCACATGTTCGCCAAGACTTCTGGCACCCCGGGCCATAGGCCGGCGCAAGTAAAATGGTTACTCACCGTGCGAATTGCCCCAATATGGGCGCTTAGGCTAAGCACCCACTTTAGTACGGGAGCAAGTAGAAACTAAAGAAAAGGTCTGGGTTTTCGGTATGCCACGGGCTCGGACAGCCGGCATCCGCAGTCTGTCACCTCGGGTCATTGACCGGTGCCATTTGAGTTTTCCGAGGACCACGTTATACAGCCCCAACAGCTCACCGTGAAGTCAAGATAAACCTGACGCCTCAATGGGGAAAGCATGTCCCACGGATCCGTAGGATCGGGACATCTATTTCGCACCTGGTAGTGCGCAAGCTCGCCACGGGCCAGAGGCCGGCGAAGTACTGGATCCACAATGGTACATCCCACCATCGAGCTCGGCTGATTTTTTCCCGTTCAAGGATCTGTTCAATCAGCGCTCGACATCGCCCGCCTGCACTGATGGCAGGTGTCCGGATCATCGGCATCGTCTTCCTCGAAGTCCCTGTATCTGTCAGTGAGAGGACGTCCACAAAAGAAAGTGCCCTCATCCCTCAGTCGATGAACGATGCCTGACAAGCTATGCACTCGGAGCTCCGCCACGGTGCATTCAAAGGGTGGCCTAAGCTCTCTGCCTGAACGCGGCATAGGCTCATACCCTACCATGGACTCGGCGGACTCGGAAGACTCTACATCGGCTGCCCCCACGTGGTGATCTTCAGGGAGAGCGGGCGCCGGTGAGGTAGTCGCCTCGCCGGCGAGCGCCGAGGCCACTGCTGCGACTCTGTCCGTGACCTCGGCATCCGGATCGAATTGATTCTGGCGGATAGTCCTGAACATCGCCAGGATTTTGCCTGCCAGGTTGATATAGAACTGTCGACTGTAAATAAGCGTCGAAGATGGGCCGCCTTTCCCGAGATGATGTCCCATCAACAATCTCTCACTGGCCTCCTCCGATGACATGCGCTCCTGACCCCAGCATCCCCACTTCTGCGACCAGGAAGGCAAGCACCCTCGGTCAAAATGGATGCCCTCTCTCTCGCGTGCCTCCAACCAGAGCTGCGCCCACGGCGTGTTGCTCACCCCAGTAGAGACGCATACGTACGGAAGCAGGCACGTCTTGGCCTCCACGGTGGTAGAAGTCTTCGAGCCAAGGGCCTCCGCAATAAGCAACTGGCCTTCTCCGTCAGAAGTGAGATTTAAAGACAGGACGTTCGGCGAGTCGCTCCACCGACATGATGTATGTATACAAAAAAGAAATTGCCCGACAACACATCGGGTCCAGTCAGAGCATCTCTTCATCAGAACCTCCAACGCCTCAACCCGTCGCCGACTGAGAGCGTCCCTCTGTCTCAGAGGAGCCTTCTTAAGCTTCAAATCCTGTGCGACACCACGCACCCTCGAAGACAAAATGACCTCCAAGTCCATGTACTTGAAGCGACTATAGCATGAAAGAACCTCAAAGCTTCCAAGATGTGAGCGGCTGTAGAAGCTTTGGCACCATGTTCCCGGAACCTTGAAAAGACCGTGTAGACCTGAGCCTCGGTAAGACGCCAAAGCGAATCCAGCGAGGCGTCATAGGACCTCACCACAAAGACCTGCAGAGAGAGGGATCTTTTCTGCAAAGTCAAGGACGCCTTTCCTCTGAAAGCGTCCGCCAGGCTCTGCATTATGACTTGATCCTCTTCCATGGCCTTTCCTTGATCAACCAGGCTGCTGCCTAAGACTGTGGCCTCCGGGTCAATCAGAATCAACATCTTGAACCTCGTCAAAGAAGAATCCCTTATGTCTGCATCTGATTTCTGAAGCCTCGCTTTGGTCAACCTTCTGGTAACCGTCCAAGGAATGTGAGCGAAGACATCGGGTTCGGGCTCCTTCTCTTTTGCCACAGACAGAGCTTCACTCACCCCGACAGAAGTCGAAGTTCTCAAGAAAAAATCAAAGCACTGATCAAGGTGCGAAGGCTTTGAATCCCAGGGCTGACGTGGTAACTCAAACCTCCTTCTCTTGTGAACTGCTGCAGCCACCATCTAAGAAGCGTCTAGCTCAGCCATCGGTCCCTCAAGCCAAGACAGCTTATTGGATTGCGGTCCTGGCAAATGTGGCGGAGCAGTAGAAGAGGAAGCAGGTATCTCTTCTTCCACGCACTCAAAGCTTCCCAAGTCATTGTCTTGAACTTGAGAATACCACTCTCTCTCATCCGCAGAAAAATCCAAAATCTCGCCTTCAGCATAGGTTGCGCATCCCTCAATACTCAAGATGTCCGACTGCTGAACATCTGCCAGGTCATCCCGAAGCAGACCCTCAAGGTGTTCTTCGAATGGGTCCCCGGCTGTGGCAGGACCATCCTGTATCAGCCCCCAAACATTGTAAGAAGCTTCTGCCGAATCACCCCCTTCCATCTCAGGAGCTTCGAATGGCAGCTGATGGTTCATTGTTTAAGGCTGAGCGCAGAAGAAACATGCTCGAAGGCTCCAGCTGACACGAAGGAAATAAAAACGATCGGCTGGAGACATGTGGACCCAGACAAGCCGCACAACATCGTAATGTTCGGCGCAGTGGAGAAAGCGGCTGGAAGCAGCACAGCCTTCCATGGCTGGACTCACCTCTAGAAAAGTTTTAAAAGCTCAGCTCGAGCAATCAATCGTCACAAACACACATATTATCAGTGATGCAAAGAAGCATGAGCATGCGACAAAAGTCTGTAAAGCATGCCAAGTACTCTTCTTGAAAAACCACCCAAAAAGGGGGGGCGGAAAATTAAATCGAATAAAGTGCTGTTGCCAAATGTCAAACACGGCCTGCGGCCTGTCGCTGATTTCAAAGAAAGAAAAGTCTGCAGGCAGAAAAGTTTCTTCTCAGAAGCGCTGAAGGCAGATGTTCACATGTGCATACTTCCACATGCGCAAGCATGGACACAGTCATCACACAAGAACACAAAAAAGTCACTTTAAAGACTCGGCTTGAGAAAGAAAACTTTGGATGTCAACATGATTTAATGTGTTTTGTTGCAAAGTGCAGAGCATAGGTTTTGCAGTGTTCCGGAACCGTGGGTTCGAACACTTGGAGCGGGCCGAGGGGGGGAACATAACACTTGAACTTAGGGTTGAACTCGGAGTTCGAACACTTGGAACCCAGGTTGAACCCAGGGTTGGGGGTGTTCGAACCCCGGGTTCGAATACCAGTGTTCGAACCCAGGGTTCGAACACCCTGCCTGGGGTGTTCGAACCAGTGTTCGAACCCAGGGTTCGAACACCCTGCCTGGGGGTGTTCGAACCCCGGGTTCGAATACCAGTGTTCGAAGCCCGGGTTCGAACACCCTGCCTGGGGGTGTTCGAACCCCGGGTTCGAATACCAGTGTTCGAACCCCGGGTTCGAACACTGGTGTTCAAACTCCAAGTTCAAACACTAGTGTTCGAACTCTGGGTTCGAACACCAGTGTTCGAACCCTGGGTTCGAACACCCCGAACACCACTTGGGGGGTGTTCGAACCCCGGGTTCGAACACTAGTGTCACTAGTGTTCCAACTCTGCAGTCGAACACCTCGAACACCACTTGGGTGTTCGAACCCAGGGTTCGAACACTGGTGTTCGAACCCGGGGTTGGAACACTAGAAGCGACGGCAAGGGCGTTAAGAAGCTGCAAAGCACGACCGAGTCTGCGGCCAGCTTGAAGCAGGCTGTTAGAGTACTTGGCGACAGAAGCGGCCACGGCAGCTTGCGTGCGCAGGACGCAACAAAAGCAAAGACGTTTGCGACAACCGAGCCGGCGGCTGGTTTGCAGAGACGCAGGTCGAAGTACCTGAGGACAGGGCAGGAGTCTGTGTAGCAAACATGCTGAGCAAGCAGAGGGCAGGACAAACACATGCAAAGCACTTGCACAGAAATTAAAAATGGACCAAGTTGCGCGTGGCAACAGAGAAACTCAAGCCCCAGCTCGAGAAGTAGAACCTGCAGCATCGAGCACGAGCGAAGAGCTTGCACAGAAAGCAAGCATGCGACCACGTCGCGTGGCAACACTGGAAGTGAGGCGGCTCGAGAAGCACCATGTGCAGCAGAAATACTTGGAGGCAGCGGGCGCGGGCGCGACCGGTGAGCAGAGTACAGAGTGCGTGCACTGCTGAGCAAGGCAGCCTATAGAGCTACACAATCTCAGAAAAAGCTTGTTCGCTCATTTTGCAAGGCAGATGGCACGTACGGGACACATACAAAACCGCTCGGCAGACGTGGCACATGCTTCGTCCTGGACTTAGCACGGGCCGCAGCAGCCGTGCATTCGCGCAAGGGCCGGGCAGGGGCAAGCTGAAAACTTCATATCAGGTCAGCAGCGTCCCGGCCGGCTTGCGTTTCAGGAGCGAGGACGGCTGTGACACACTCGGCGACCGTGCAGAGGAGGACGGGACAGACTGATCGCGGTGTGGCACGACGTGCGTGTTCCAAAGGAACCCGATGAGCAGCAGATAAATCTCCATGGTCTCGAATCGCATGTGTCGCAGCGTGCCTTGGAAATTCGACAGCCAGTTGTTGAATTGCTCATTGTTAGAGGTGGTCACGTCGGCAAGCTCCGCGTACTGCTCGATGCGCACTTCTGGGAGATAGAGACGATGCGCAGGATTCACACAGGCCGTGTGATTGCCGCGATGAAAGCGATCAAGCACGTACCGGCAATCGGCTAGCTGTTCTGTAACGGATGTCGAAGGACGGCGAGCACGACGACGAATGAAGCGAGCCAGCATGCAGGACGTGTCGTAGACAACAAAACGAAGAGCTCGGCGAGCACGAACTTGACCAAGGAGCCCGAAAACCTGCGTAGCAGATTCTCGACCAGCACAGGCGGATATGTTGCACACCGTCCCGCATGGCAACAAGAGGGCCAGAGCACCTCCAGTTCGTCGTGCACCCGAAGATAACTGCGGCTTGGCGAGGCGGCAGCAATCATCTGCGACCTCCTCCTCGTAGGTGACCTCGGGAAAGGTGGCCAGAGGCTGCAGACATGTGACATGGGCGGGGCGGCACGGCCGACGTGGCCGAGAATACTGGCTGCGTGCACAACTTGCACGCATCGAAGTTGCAAGTAGCGCACGTGTATAGAGCACGGCAGAAGGTGGCAAGGTGCGGCTGCAGACATCGCACGTCACCTGCCAAACCTCACCTGGGATCTGCAGGACACGTGAGCAGTCCGGCCGTGCAGGCGCACGCTGCGGCTCTGCGTGCCAGCGACAATAGCAGCTTCCGGGCGCAGGCGGGAGACAGCAGCCAAAGCGCGCAGAGACGCCAACCTCCGCATAATCGCGAACGGCCCCGGACATCTCAGCACAGACACGCACACTGCTGCTGACCTTGGCGTCCACGCCCACGCAGCCAGTCGCATCGCAAATGCGACAGTGATGTTGACGAGCAAATCGCTCTAGAAAACCACGATGCAGTAGGTCACGCAGACGAGGAAGAGTGACGAAGAAATCGTCACACGGAGCGTCGGCCGAGTCCTTGCTTCTCTTCGAAGGCAGCAACCGCAGTGGCACCTCTGAAGCGTCCAGACCCAGTCCGCAGGAGTGTAGACAGACCTGCGCTTGCCAAAAGAGCCAGGCGTGGAAAAGGTGCTTTCGAACCACGGAGGACAGGGGTTGCCCGTGCAGAGCCGACCATATACGCCCGAAGCCATCGAAGGATGCGCGCCAGTGAACCACAGCCAAAGACATGTAGCGTAGCACACACGTCTCCACAAACAAGAGAGTACGCCCATCGTCATTGTGCCGCGGAGCCAGGATTGGAAGGATTTCGACGGTAGAGGGGTCGCAACGCAAGAGTAGGCTGAGGTCGGAGGCAACGTCCATGCAGCCAAGAACTTGACGACCGCGCCGCACACAGACTGCGACCTGGTAGTGGGCATCGACGAGGCCGGCATCAAACGTCAGCAGCTGTCCAACAGCACGCTGCTGCGCCTGCAACTGATTCAAACCGAGCAGCTGGCCCCGACGTGGCACAGGGTTGGGCGCGTCGCAGGTGGCAGCGGCAGCAAGGGACTCTGCAGGTATAGAGGAGCTTCTCGCAAATGCGAACTGCGTCGAGGTCCGATAGAGAGGCAGGTCCCGGCAGGCAAGCGGCCAGCAGCAGCTGACGCAAGCGCGCAGGAAAGGGGTTGGCGCTGGCCTCGCGAAAGGCCACAGCGACCACCGGGAGCGCCTCCTCCGGGAGCGGGTACATGGCCGCACGCAGACCATCCATGGCTAGGCCGCTGGATTCAGAATCTAGTCAACAGTTGTAGGAGGGCACGGCAAGAAGATATCTGTCAGCCGGGGCGGATAGAAGAGAAGCACGTCAGCTAGACAGAAACAGACGCAGCAAGACGCACACTGTGCACGACTGCAGCTGCACTTTTAGTTCGTGCACAAGGCAGCCGGGTGTCGCGAGGCAGCGCCGTGGCTGCGGAAGACATGTAAATAGTGACAAGGCGTCGCCTAGTGGCTTATAGCGAGCGGAGCAACTACGCGGCTTTCAGTTTCTCCAAGTTCTGCAGGATGTCCAAGGCCTCTTCGGTCGTGAAGACCGGCGGAAATGACGGCTCCGGCGCTGTGCGCGGTTTGTCCTTCGTGAGCTTGTCCATGCTGGCTGGCTTGTAATCGTGCATTTCCACGTCCAGCTTGTGTAGAATGTTCACGAAGTGCACATGCGTTGCATCCTGCAGAAGGGGACGGCGGATCATAAAGAGGATCTTGGGTCCAGAGTTGTTCACGGAGAGGACCGCGTTGCCCAGGCACAGGTAAATGAGGAGAGCGCCCACACGGCCGAAGTAGGGCCAGGCGCAGCAGGCGACCACGCTCGGGAGCGGTCTTGTTCAAGAGAGCGGCAATGTCAGTCTTCAGCAGGTCGCGAAGCTTCGCGCCAGCGCCCGGGGCCGCACCTGGCAGGCTGCTAGGCCCGCTCCCTGGAGTTTCGCCAACCAGACTGTGGAAGAACTGCCCAAGCCGGTCACCACGGCATCGAGATACTGACCAAATGTGTCGCCGAAGCGCAGCGCCTTGTCAGACAGCACGAGGCTCCAGTCCCCCGGCTCGCGCCCCAGGCGCGCTTGCTCGCGCAAATGAACTTGCAGACCGAAGCGCAAGTTGGCAGTCTTTAGCTTGCCGTGGGCCTTCGCAAGAGTGTGGTTGGTGAGGTAGTTTTGCTCCTGACTTGCAACATGTTTGTCGAAAGTGGCATCGAAGACGCTGCATGAAGTGTGTACGCCCGCAAGGGGTAGTCTTTGGGGAATTCGAACAAGTCTCGTGGAGTGTGATCCAGCGAATGTGCACGGTGAACCGGAAGAAACTTGTCCACGAGGTCGGCCAGGAATGTGCGCCGAGGGTTATGCTCAGCATTGGCGTCGCGCAGCTCTGCAGCACGTTGGAAGCTTTGTCGTGTAGAGGAACTTGGCACGACCGCGCAAGCCCAAGGGGTCTTGTTCACAGAACATAAAGGCGATGTCCTCCAAGTGAACTGCTCCCGACATTGCGATCATGAAGAGGCCGGGACCGGGTAAGCAGCCAACCCTGCAACTCCCGCTGCTCAGCGAGTAGAGGGTGGAGTTGGCGCACTGCTCATGAGCGCCACGTGCCCAGGGCAGCGCCGTCGGGAACCGTGCTAGGAGCGAGGCGAGCGGCTCCTGGGGGCTGGGGACACGACAGGCTGCTGTATACACCCCTGCGTCGTCCGGGTTCCAATAGAAAGCCTGTATTAGAAAGCCCAAGTAGGCCCACAGCAACATCGCCAGAATGCCTGGCCAGCGTGCCAAGAAGTGGGGTGCCCACGAGCAGCTCCACCTGGCGCCAATCCGCATGCTCCGTGCTGCGCGGCAGCGTGGGGAGAAGGGCTAGTTGGGCAAGGAGTATAGTGGGACCACCTCTGCGGCCCAGTCGTCTAGAAGCGCCGCATCTAAGCGCAAATCATCCTCATATCGCCGAAACCCGTGGTCCCCGCGCGGGCCACCGTGCTCGCATTGGCGCAGAAATGCCGTCATGGCTCCAGTGGAGCGAGGAGGCCGATATCGGTGGCAGCACGGCCAGGTTGCGCCGCGAAGACAGAGAACCCCCCCTGCGCATCCGTGGAGGGCTCGGATATGAAGACCACCCCCACGCTATCGACGTTATGCGGCCGACGGCCAGGTCGTAGCCACCCGGGGAATAGTCCCACAATGACCTGAGGCCAGTCGATGCCTGGGGCTCGTCGCAGCCTTGCGGGGGAGCGGACTGAAAGCTGGCTGCTTCTGAGACCAGCTCCTGGAGATCCCGGACCTCGAACAAAGAGGAGGTGCCGCATCGTGATCCGCAAGTAGGATGTGTTTACCTGGCAGTAGCGTGGTAAGTAGCCACAGCGCGTACACTTTGCCCCACCAAATCGGGGAGTCAGTGAGGGCTGTGTCTGCAGTAATAGGTACGAAGAGGGCGGAGTGTCGCTCCCCGTGCCTCCCCACCCAGCGCCCTCGGTTAATAATGTGCGGCAGGGTGTGCTGGGCATGGTGGTACGACGTCACTTCCTCCGTATCAGTAAACAGCCAGATGGCGTCGCTCAAGAGGATGCCTGGCTCAGGCTCCATGATGAGGGGCAGAACCGCCCTCGCGAGCCTCCCAAGGGCAAGCGGAACGGTGACGCCGCTCACGATCGCATCAGGTGGGGCCCGGAACAGCGTCAAGGACGGGTTAACTGTTAAGGCTTGCGCGGCCAGGTGCCCGTGGACCACGGCCTGTGTTAGGGTCATGTACCCTGGCCGTGGCCACCGTCCACCGGCCATCCCGGCATGATAGAGAAGCGCCGCCGCGTGGTCACGGGGTGGGCATCCGCCATGGCGCTGTCTGAAAGGCAGCCGTCTAACGGGGCTACGGACGAATGTCCGAGCCCTTACCCCCCCCCTTTCCGTCCCCTCTCCTAAGAAGCCATTTCAAAAGGCAGAAGACGGGAAGCACTGGCTCCAAGGAATTGAGGACCAATCGGCACAGCACCATTTTAATCCCCGCCGGTACAAGCCCTAGTTATGTTCAGGCACTCAGACAGAAAGTGAAGTACCCCTGGCGCTGGCCGTAATCGACATCCGTGTTGTCACGGATGTGGCCGTGGACGTCACCGACTCTCTTAAACCAGATGCGGCACGTCTCCTGCTCCGGGTGCTGCCATCCACAGTGAGTTTCTACCACCACCAGATTGGAGTCGCCGCAAGAAGGAGGGTCACATCAATGGCGGCCTCTGAGAAAGCGAAAGTGCCGTCCTGCCGGATGTCATAGTGGAAGATGTCACCCTTGGACATTGATGCCGGCATCCAGACGGCGCCAATGGAGTACGGCCATATCGCCGGTGTACCCAGCCGGAGGCCGACAGAGCGACCGCAGGCAGGCAGTGGCAGCGGGCAGAAGCTCAAGCGAATGCTTGGCTTCTGGGCTTCACCTGAGCACAAGGGCTGGCGGGATAAAGAAAGAGGCCGGACATGTCCTGCAGAGGAGTGCAGACTGACCGATGAGCAAGCAGAACAACGACGAGCATCGCTTTCACCCTCAGCGCCGACATCCGCTCAGGGTAGCGGTCGAACCGACTACACAGCGTCTCTCCCTCATCCCTCAGCTGCGGCAGAATGCTTGGTAGCCATGACGTCCTTCAGTGTCGTAGTAGGAGATGATCCCGTTAGGTGCCAAACGGGGGTCAGCCGTCACACACTTCAGCCAGGCAAGCGTCGATAACCACTAGGTGAGAGTTGCAGAGGGAGCAATCATTTGAGCATAATGGACGAAGGTAGCGTCCACAGCTGCAGGACCAGGCCAGTCACTGCCAGCATCAGCCGCAGCAGCCGGCGGCGTCGCCATGCTATGTGGAGGAGTGGCCGGGCGCAGGCACTACCTACACGCGGGTGCGGCGGAATCGCCGACCCCACGCAGCAAGCAGCGCTAAAGTCGTCCGCAGGGTAGCCAGCAGCAAGCAGTTCAGACACTGTGGCCGCACTTCCTGCCTTGACTGCAGTCAGCAACGCCCCATGGACAGGGTCCTGCAGGCCCTCATCCCCAGGCTCAGGGGCCGGTCGATGATAGCGGAGATAGCGTATAGCGTGGGCCACCTAGAAAGCATGCCACGTTGGGCTGCCAGCTCCAAGGCCTCCTGCAAACGACCGCGTCGGGTGGTCGCGAGCCACTTCAAGGACGCGCGTGAGAACAACCGCGGCTGGTCAAGCGCCCATGCAACCGGCATAGATGGGGTCCCCAGACCCAACAGCTCGCAAAGCCGCCTGTGGCTTCATACGAGAATCGTCACGGAGCAGGGAATCTCGTAGGAGCGATTGCTGCTCGATGACGGTGCCCTCCGAAATTGGATTGAAGATAATCAGCTGGTAGTCACCGCGCAATAATGCCGGAGGGCTCATTAGTGAAGACTTCTCCATCAGGCAGCAATTGGACGAGTCATCTCCACTGAGGCGGATACGACCAAGACCATATTTTTAGGTTCATCCGAAGGCCGGGCGCGGCGTTTCGCGCGGTAACTAATTATTAGTTAAAAAGAAATTAGCGGCGCGCGCGGAGCGCGCGCCGCCAGCGAACAAAAAACGCGTTTTTCCGTTTTTGCTTTCCAACCTCACTCAAACCTGCTTTCCCAAACCCAAAGTCTTTTTCACTCGAGCGTGACCACATCCCTCATTTCGCCTGCCACCTCTACCTGTACACGAGGTGGGGCAGGGCTTACAAAAGGCTTCTTAAAAGCAGACATGTCCTTCCAAGTGACCCCCCCGCTGTCTCTTTGAGACTTGCGAAGCTGGCAACACACTGAAAACATGTCTTGTCCGCCGAACCAGTGCTTCAGCTGGAACAAACGGACGTGAAAACGCATGATCTGTTCCATGCGAGGGCCTCTGTCGTCTGAAGAGCCAACTGTGTTGAAGGGACGCTTGCCGACCACTTTGCGGAAGGCAGCGAAAAAGCCATCAACCTTCTGGGTTCCTCCAACCCTTTCCTGCTCTTCAAACCTGTCGCCCACCCAGACACGCACCCGCATTCTCTTAGAGAATTCTGGGTGCGGAGGCTTGTGTTTGACACAAGTGTGAGACAAACGCAAATCACTGTCCTCCAAAACTACCATCAAGCAGAGGGCTCTCAAGGACTTGGCTTTGGCTCCGTCTGTGTGACAGACGGAGCCAAATTCCAGCACAGGCTCATCAGAGTCCAAAAGTAGAGCAGAACGCATTTCCTCCAAGGAAAGTGGTCATGCACGAACCG